ATGCGCAAATGGCTTGTAGCATTGTAAACGTTACAATGAAAACGTTTAATGTCAATTTCATCTTCAAAGGTTCTAACATAATAACAAGTGTCTAATTGAATTAACCTTTACTCTTTATGTTAGTACCAAAAATTTCACCACACATAAATTGTATCTCTTATCAAGTTCAAAAATTTGTTAATTTTAAGTAGTTTGGTTTTCTTCCTTTCCATATTTCATGTGGAGAAACCTTTTTATTTTGTGACGTTATCCTGTTATGAATATGACATGCCGTCAATAGTGTCTCATCCCATAGATTATGAGGTACCTTAACATTTAATACCATTGAATTAACCATATCTACTAAGGTACGATCCTTTCTTATATTTGGAACATGAAATACATTTATCAAGTTTGACTTCTTTCCTGATGTAAAGTTCAACTTTACTATTCCTTGATATAATACCCTTTCTTGTAGCAATAGTAACATTCTCTTTGTCTCTTTTTATCTTGCTTGATATCCACAAAAGATTTCTTTCTTTTTCCTTGATCGACATTTACTTCTCCAACATGGTTCACTTTAGAACTTTAAGAAAGATACACACCATCACATTTTTGAGGTTCCTCTTCTATACGTAGATGCATGAGTAATCTTTCAATAGAGAAGTCTTCTCAAAGATGAAAGAGTTTCTTCCTATAATCATCCCAAGATGAAGGCAATTTTGAAATAATTGCTCCAACTTGTAATAATTCAAGAACTATTACTTGTAGATCTCGAAGTCTACTTACAAGAATATATAACTCATGAACTTGATCAATGATAGGCACGTTATCAACCATACTAAATTAAAAGTACTTTAACATGATAAATTTATCCGTACCTTTATCGTTCATTATTGTATTTTTCTTCTAAAGACTTCAAAGTCTCTAATGGAAATCAAATTGACATGTAGAGATCATAAAGTCTATCTAACAAGGTGTTGAGAATGTGTCGTCGATATGCAAAAGTGTCCTCATCATGCTTTTCTTTCAATTGGACAACCCTTTCCTTTTCTTCATAAGTTGCCAGCATTGGAAATTTGTGTGGTATTAAGCACGTAAGCAAGATTTAATACTGAAAAATGAAACATCATTTTGTCCTTCTATATGTTGAAGTTTGTCCTGTTAAATCGATCTAGTTTGACAAACTCTTGATTCATGACCTTGAAAGTAGTATTATGATTTTGAGTCATCTTCAATATAATATCTCTCTAAAATTGTTAATAATCTTGTTGTAGAAGATAATGAGTAAGAATTTGAAATACTAGTTTCAAGGTACGAAATCAATCACTATCTTTAGATAAATATTGATCCCTACACAAAGTTGCTATGGGATGACGATACTCTCCTAGGATACAATGAAACCTTTAAATTTCTTGTCTAACAATAACAAAAAAATTTCTCTCATGAACTTGAAATTTAAGAACACTCAAACTCACATGTTACACACAGTAAAAGTTCCTTAAATGTTCAATATTAATAGAGATTATTTATAATTAATGATTTAGACGCAAGTGAACAATTATATCTTTGCACTTGAAAGTCTATATGTTTAAAATAAGAGATGTGTATGGAATTTGAAAATCATGTCCATCATTTAGTATCATCAGAAGCATTGTACATGAACCAATACACTTGTTCATGGTTTTAACTTAGTTCTTGTACAGCCTTCATATGCAATGGCTCTTAGCATTATGAACATTAAATGACTATTTTATTTTTCTTAATTATTTACTTTTAAACTTTTAAATGTATTTAATAAGGTATTTGTGGCTATAGGTTTTGGTTTTAGTGTTGGGTTACGTACACAGGATTTGTGATGGGTGCAAGTGAAACTACACCACCAAATGCTGTTGAAGACGACGATGCTCCTCCGCGCTCTGACGTTGCCGGCATCCACATCGCACTGTGTTTTATCGAAAGGGTTTTCAATGGAGATTCAAAGTGGAGGATTTTATTTAAAACTTAAATTTTGAATGAATCATTTATTGTAAAATTAACTCGAAATAGTTTATCAACAAATTAGGTTGAAACATTAGTACAAAAGACTCTTTCTTTTTTAAGACCAAGGCTATTAAAAACTAACAAAGAGATTAATTTTTTAAAAAAATTAATATTAAAAGGAAGAAGTCTATTTCGTGTATTGTTTTCTCAAACTATACAAAGTGGTGTAACTCTTCCCGTACTCGTAAATGTTACATACACAAAGTCATAACAATTTTTTTAAAATAGTTTTAAAACTTTAAATAAAAATAAATAATAATAATAATTAAATTTAAATAACGAAATAAAAATAAAAATAATAAATTTTTTGAAATATAATAATATTATTTTCTAACATCCTTGAATACGTACCCGTCTTTTGATAATTATTAAGACTCATTTGAGTTAAAAATGTTAAGATTTAATTAACATTCACAGAACAATGTCCAAATTTTATAAAATTTGATTTTTTATACTTTTGGAAGTTTATTCTATATCAAACATGATTGAATTGAGTTTAAATTTAATTCTACATCCTAATTTAAAATTAAAGTCTAAATTTTGCATAAGAAGTTTACAGTTGTACATATAGGTCGAATCACGTGTCAAATTAAAAAACATGCAGCCATGGTTGAGAATGTGTAGTTCTTTTACAACTGCTTACAACCCAAGTCCGTTATTATTACACCTAATACGCATTATATTTATACATTATTGTATAAATATAAATACAGATGCAAATGTATAATTATAGATGTTTGTAGTTATCGATGATGACCTTACTCAGTTGGATCTGAATTGTGAGCAAAGCATTGCACTCAGAAGGCTAAGTAAAGAATGACCATAAACTTCATCTTTTATCCGTAAGTATCCCCTGTCACATATTTCTATTTGTCGTTTCTCTCTCACAGGGTGTCTCATGTTGCCCACAAATTCCACGTTGATATTTTCCTCTCCACGTTTTCTAGTTTTATATGTAAAATAATCATGATCAAATAATATTAAGCATATAATTTAATAAAATAATATTTTAAATCATTTTTCATTAAAATAATTTATTTTAATTCAAAATTTAATTATTATAATATTATTATAAAATTTATAATTTTTTAAATATGTAATTTTTTTATTTAAATTACATGTTAATATTAACTATTTATTTATATTTTTTATATATATTATCCGTTAAAATATAATAGAGCGATAAATTATTTAAATTATGTAAAATTTTATAGTTTTTTCTTTTCACTCCAAAGTTATTGTCTTATATTTAAATTTACTCATTCTTTATTATATATTTATGAATTTTAATTCTTAAAAATAGAGTAATCTCTAAATTCATTCTTTCATATAATGTTAAGCCACTTTTTTTTTAAAGGAAATATATTTTTTTCACCTTTATTAAAAGTATAATTTACTTTTTGACGTAAAAATATATAAACTTATTAAAACTTCTATCCTTAGAATTGAGGATAAACAGTTAATAATAGTAAAATTTTATTAAAAAGTACTTATTATATTTTTATAACTTTAGTATAATAATTATATACTTTTTTCATAAAAAAATTTTATTTGTAAACATTTAAACTTAACTCTTAAAACTGAAGTTAATAAAACCTATTTTTTAATATAGAATAACAAGTTTTAATTACCAAATTTAAACTTTAATGTTAATAGTTACCTATGATATTTTATTTTAATATAAAATAATAAATTTTAAAATAATGTAAAATTACTTAATCTATAAATTTAAAATTAAGAAAATAAAATTTTAACTATGAATTTAACATATAAATATGAAATCATCTATAATAGTCTTATCTCACCTAGTTCAAATATTATTGTTTTCAATAAAAAAAAATACCGATAGTTTAGATAAAAATAATAATAATATAACACACATGTATATAATAAATATTGCTAAATTTAAACCATTAAATAAAAAATAAACCTACTTTTGACTAAAATAGTAAAATGAAATACATATGTAGATTTATTATAAGTAAAAGAACTTTTAATTAAGAGTTACTATTATGTTTTCAATTATAACAAGTGATTTCTTCTACATTTAATAGTTTAAATTTAATTTTTTAATATTTTTCCTGATTTTAAATTTTTATCTCTTTAATTAATCCTATTTATTATATTAAAATATTATTTATTATAATAAAATATTTACTTATATACATATATGGAGAGATAGATTATAAAATCTTAAAAATTATAATAAAAATAACATTTATATTAGTATTTATATATAATTTTTTGTAAAAGCAATTTATTTCTGTCAAAAAATGGTGTTTATAAGGTGGGCTAAGTCAAATTTGACTTAAGAAAAATTATTCCACCTAATTAAAATATAACAGGTTGAGTTGGATTAATTTTTCATATTTTTTAATGTGACCTGAGCTAATCTGACTTAATCATAAACGAGTTTGTTTGGATCGAGTAATTCAGGGTAGAGATAAAATAACTTTTTAATCTATAAAATTAAACTATTGTCAAATTAAATTAAAATAATCTATTAACATTTATATAAAAAGTCTCGATTTATACTTAAATAATTAAAATATAAATTAATTATAGTTTAGATTGAGTTGAGTCGGTAGAGTTTTATTATTTATAGCAAAATAAAAAATTAAACAAAATATTCGTTTATTACGTAAATTACTAATAATAACATTACCAATTAACAGATTTACCACGCACCTATCCTTTTCCCATTTCTGGATTTAACGCTCTCGAAAGTGGTGAATTATAAATATAATGTCGAGCGATGCAAATAGAAAACCCATAGCCTGGCCCATATAAGACTCAAGGTTAAGATCGAACCATCAATAGAGTAGAAAAATGAGAGAGGAAGATGAATGGACTTAGAAGCACAAAAACAAAGCACCAATCACAGCCATTCACTGAATGAGAGGCTATCCATAATCTCATCCTCACTTAGGCTCACGAGTCACAGCCACACATCCACGTTGCCTCCTCATAGTTCCTTATTAAACTTTACGAGACACCACATGGAACCTGAATATCTATTTCCCTTCAACCCTCTACACTGCTACTTTAGCTTCTGCTTCACTATATTCACTCTCTATCGTAGGCTGAACCATCATGGCTTCGCCTACTCTTTCTGTAGCCAAACCAGCTCTTCAGGTTCAACAACTTCTTTTATTTATTTTTCCAAGCTTTAATATCATTTTAAGAGTACCATTTTGTGCAAAAGCTAGAGCTAGTTGTTTGTAATAGCTTTTCATTCCTTTCTCTATTCAGGCTAATGGGAAAGGCTTCTCTGAGTTCTCTGGCCTTCGTAGCACTTCAGTGTACCTTCCCTTTTCAAGAAAAACTTCAGAAGATCTCCATTCTGTCATTGCCTTCCAGACTTCAGCAGTAAGTTCTTGGCTCCACTGAGTGGCTAATCATTTTATTGCATAACAAAGGTATTTGGCATGTAGAAGGTGTGGATATATCTGTAACTCTTTTAGTGCTTCGCTTCATGACCTCTATGAATAATGATCTTTGATTAATAACAACAGTGTATAATTCAAAATTTTCCAACATAGATGGTGCATGCCTAATGATATCCTCGAACACCAATTCTATGTATTCATATTTTGACTCTTGTAGTAGTTTTTTATATCACATTAATGTCACACCATGTGTTTGCACCGAGACACACATTTTGATTCATGATCATCACTTTGTACGATTGAAAAGAATACAAAAATATATGCGGGAAAAGGGTAAACCGATGAGTTATTAATTATATTATTATGTTAAAAAATATATAATTCAATATATTAATACTATTAAATACTATAATTTTGAATAAAAATTTATTATTTATTGAACTCTGGTTGATTGTCCTTTTGTACAGTTAGAAAAAAAATGTTATTATGTGTATATATGATGATAATTAATAATTAATTTAAAAAATTGAGTGACATGTTTAACAACCCTGCATCTTTGTATGTACTTGTGAAGGTTGGAAGCAGTGGAGGGTACAGGAAAGGTGTAGCAGAAGCAAAGCTGAAAGTTGCCATAAACGGGTTTGGAAGGATTGGAAGGAACTTCTTGAGGTGCTGGCATGGTCGTAAGGACTCTCCTCTTGATGTCATTGCTATCAATGACACTGGAGGTGTAAAACAAGCCTCTCACCTTCTAAAGTACGATTCTACACTTGGAATCTTCGAAGCTGATGTCAAGCCTGTGGGTACTGATGGCATTTCTGTTGATGGAAAAGTCATCAAAGTTGTCTCTGACCGCAACCCTGCCAACCTTCCTTGGAAGTAAGCTTCTAAAAAGTTCCATGCAACTATGTGCATGTTAAGAGAAGGGTTTGTCATAAATAACTCCATTTTAATTAAGATATTATATTGAAGTATATTAACTTTTGTATAACTTTTTACAAACGATAACTGTATTAATTCGCCTAAGAAGATACTTGTTTTTCTAAATTTTGTCCAAAGAACTGACAAAAATAAACAAATATTTAATTTAAACAAGTTGAAGCCACTAATTTGCTAAAGTTTTGAAGACAAGATAGGGATATGTATGAAGGTGTGTGTGTGGTGTTGCATAATTGCAGAGACATGGGGGTGGACTTGGTGATTGAAGGAACAGGGGTGTTCGTGGACAGAGAGGGTGCAGGGAAGCACATTCAAGCAGGAGCTAAGAAAGTGCTCATCACAGCCCCTGGCAAAGGAGACATTCCCACCTATGTTGTTGGTGTCAATGCTGATGCTTACAGTCCAGATGAACCCATCATCAGCAATGCTTCTTGCACCACTAACTGCCTTGCCCCCTTTGTCAAAGTCCTTGATCAGAAATTCGGTAATCTACCTTGTCACCACATTTTAGTCATTTTCACCATATATAATACAAAGTTGAATATTTCGCATAAATAAAGTCACTTATGTACTTATTAGTCATTTTAGTCACTAGCTTTAACTAAACTTTATTTTAGTTCCTGGTTATGCACATTAGTAAAAAGAAGTACATTAATGATGCTTTCCAAACGGACTAAAGTTAAAGCAAGGACTTACACTTTTAAAAACAAATTGACTGTATAACAATAGCCTAAAACCCATTTAAGGTATTGTCCAATGCAAGGTTCTTTAATGAAAAAGCATAATTTTCTTGAGTATGGCAATGGAAACTGATGTTGCATAACAGGTATCATCAAGGGTACCATGACCACCACTCACTCCTACACGGGTGACCAAAGGCTTCTTGATGCGAGCCACCGTGACTTAAGGCGTGCAAGAGCAGCAGCTCTTAACATAGTTCCAACTTCAACAGGAGCAGCAAAGGCAGTGGCACTTGTTCTCCCAACCCTCAAAGGGAAACTCAATGGCATTGCACTTCGTGTGCCAACACCAAATGTTTCTGTGGTGGACCTTGTTGTTCAAGTCTCAAAGAAGACCTTTGCTGAAGAAGTTAATGCAGCTTTCAGAGAGAGTGCAGAGAAAGAACTGAATGGAATTCTCTCTGTTTGTGATGAACCCCTTGTGTCCGTTGACTTTAGGTGCACTGATGTGTCTTCAACCGTTGACTCATCGTTGACCATGGTCATGGGTGATGACATGGTGAAGGTGATTGCTTGGTATGACAACGAATGGGGCTACTCTCAAAGGGTTGTGGATTTGGCTGACATTGTTGCCAACAATTGGAAGTGAGCCAAACAAAAACTTCAATTTGTTAAATATTATGAACCATGCCATTATAATTTTGTATGCTTACTACAGTTCTTGCTTCCCTTTTCTTTTTTCTTTCCAAAACTTGTACTGAGAAATAGAACCATCAATTTTCTCTTGCTTCTCATTGTGCAATTGATACTAGCTAGGCCTTCAATTTATCTTCACCTTCCTCATTCCTACCTAGGAGTTCTTTTTATCACTTACAATATCATGGAAAGAAAATTAAACAACTCAAATTTATAAATACGCAAACGATGAATATCAAACACCTGTTTAACATTTCTCATCTTTATTTATCCTTTTCTTTTTATTACATCACATCACTTATTATATCTATCACTTCTCTTTCTTCCCTTCTTATTTTTTTTTTATCACTTGCATCTTGCACAAATCACAATAGTTCTGTGAAATGAACAAAATATATATATATATATATATATATATATATATATATATATCTATTTTTTGGGAGATAATAGTAGTAAACTATCAGAACGACGAGACTAAAGATTTTATTTTATTTTAATTTCTTTTTTATACACTAACAAATTAAAAATAATAACAATTTAGATGGCTGTTTGAAGCTATTAAAAGTTTAGTTATAAAACAATATACAGTTATTGGTCTTTCACGAATAACAAACTGAATTTTTAATTATTTGAAAAAGTGACTCCAAACTTTAAAAATAAAATAAATTGATTTGACTATTCAGAACAATGTTTTAATGACCGAACATACGATTATACTTGTGATAAAATTAATAAAACTTGAATTATATTTGGATTCGTCAATTGATTAAATTTTAATTTAAAACACTCATTAACCTAAATGACATTTAATTTGGAAATAAAAACCACTTGCACCCAATCAGCTCAATCCTATTTGATTTTAATTTTTTGGTAACCAATTCTATTTACTATTAAAAACATTGCTTTCAACTTCAAACACAAAAATTGGAATATGCTCCTTTTTTCTTTCTTTTTTTTCGCAAAATTGGAATATGCTCTTGAAAGGGCTGCATATGCTACATGATTTATAGGTGAAAGGCCCATCTTCGTGACATCAACACCAACAAAATTACATATTGGTCTTTACATTGTTTGAGAGAGACGTGTCAAGCCTTTAATTGTCACATGTACAGGTTAGTTTGGTTATACGTGCATAAAATATTATAGAATCTATCTGCATATTTATATTTTAAATAATTACTTTTTCTCAAATTCGTTTTTATGAGTAATGATAATTTTAATATTTTTTATTTTTATTTTTATTTTTTTCTTACAAAAGGGGCTAAAAGCTCAAAGACACTACAATCAAGACCTCACTCTATAGGTGAATAAACTTATATAGTCCAAATTCAAATAACACCACGAATAAGTTCTATCAAAATAAGAGAAAGAGATACACAATTTAAAGCTAAATTTGGCAAGCCTATTAGCACAAAATTTGGTATCCCTATATGCATGGCTGAATATAATAAACTTAATCTTTTTAAACAGATACCTAATGCTATGAATCAGATGACAGAGAGGATGAAAATAATTTTGAATTGTAAGATCAAGAAATATCACTTGTTTGAAGTCAGTTTCAATCCAAATGGTAGATATTATTTTGAATAACAAGCTGGAGATTGAGAAATATATCCCACTATTTTGCAATGGAGAAATAAGCTTCCAAACAAGAGTAGAACTCAGCCACAAGTTGTCCTTTGTCATTGCAGATAAAGCCACTACAACCAGCCGTACTAGAATTTGAAGAAACAACACCATCAATATTAAGTTTCAACTATTGGAAGGGAGGGGGATTTCATTTAATTTGTCTCTGGTCATCAGTAATAGTAAGAATTACCTTAGATTTGTCCCATGCAACAAAGTTTAAAGTGATCAAAATCACAAAAAAATTGATAAATGAGAGCAATAACTTGAAGGCAGAAATTTTGAAATAATGATGCATTTCTTTTTTTTTCAAAGATACCATATAACAATACCAAAAAGTCTATTCCAACCAATGGAATTATTCCTATTATATCCTGTCAAATTGTGTTGTAGCTAGGTAAAAAAGTCATTACTAAAAAATTAAACCTAGTTTTAATTGAGAATAAATTGTTTCTAAACCTGTTTAGCAAAATGGCAATCTCTAAGCACATGCATAATAGTCTCATAAGCATAATTGCATCTAGGATAGAGAAAATCACTAATCATGCCTCTTCTATGTCTCTCAACATTGGTGAGAAGTATTAATATTTATATTTTATACGTGTACAAAAGTACTGTTTTATATCTTAAATATAAAAATGTATATCTTAAATAATCAATTGGATATATTATTCAGCCAATGAACTTAAAAATGACTTCGCATTAATTCTCCAGTATAGTTACACAAGGCAATAAGGAGATGGATTTTCAATTTTAAAGTTAGAAGATGGTTTTGGAATGAAATTTAAAGAAATGAATTTGTAAGATTAGGAAGTATAAAGGGAAGAAGAAAGAGCAAAGCAAACAAGTAATTAGAGTGTTATTGAATGAGGATGCTTATGACTTGATATTTCTGTTGCATAAGTGATCCTGTTTATAGATATTAATTGTGAATATAAACAAATCTTGCATTTATTAAGTATATACAAGACAGAGGCGCTTTTAATCAGGTAAGCAAGATGTGTTCTTCCTTTGGCTGTCTAAACATCCGTTTTGTTTCATTTGTTAGAATTGACGCTTTGATTATTGCAGAAAGCTAAGCGCTCCCCATCAAGTTTGAAGATTCCGAGTTGTGTGCCCTTGTGATGAACGACTTTGATTATCTTTCAGAAATATACGACTTTGCTTTTAGTGTTTCAATCTTGCACTACGTCTGTTGCGGGCTCTTCTCTTTTTTATTAAGGGAATATGTACGCCTTTTGTCTCTTCCTATTACTCTTCTTTTGAACTTTTCTTATAATTTGCTTTGGTTTAAAACTTAAAACAGTAGTTTCAGTTTAGATTAATAATTAGATTGTCGTCCCAAACAAAGATTAAACAATTAAAAAGAGATTTTTAAATTGTGACCAATCGTAATATTATTTAAAAATAAGTGTAATATGATATTATATTTTAAAATTAATATATTAAATGCAACAAGTATGAAGCATGTTGATAATAAAGCAATAACTATGCTTATTCTCATAATTTATTATAGATAAATACTCATGCTTGAAGTATTATCTATTATCTATTTCATTGCCATTTTAAATCAAATGACTAGGTTTAACTAAATTATATTTTGTCAAGTTAAATAAAAAAAACTGAATTAGGATTTTACAATATTTTGATTAGACTAATTTAATTATTTTATTTGAGAGTGACACAGCCTTAAGTTGTCACAGGTAAAAGTGGTATTCACGTGAATTAAATACTTGCATAGGATATTATATTATTTATTTTTATACTTATATTTTTAAAAATATTTACCTTTGAACCTAATTTTATGAGTATTAATTTTAATATTCCTTCACTATCATGTGAATTAAATATTTATATTATGATACGTTATTAATATTTTTCTTAGACAAAAATATTATTTGATATTTTAATTTAAAGATGAAAATGGTAAATGGTCGAATAGCTATGTTCCTCAGCCTATAAACTTAAATACCACTTTTAAAATTCTAAACATGAAATCCTTCACAAATTATAAAAGACATAATTTCTTAAAAATAAGCAAAAATCGAAGGGATAAGAGACAAAATAATTAATTAATTTGAATAAAATTGTCGATAAATATTGATGAAAAGAAAAATAAAATAAATTAACAAGATAAAGTGAATTTAATTTTGTATATAAATTTAAATTAATTTAGATAAATCAAAATTTTATCTATTGTATCTCTTCTAGTTGCCAAATAGGAGTTTTTAATTTTTAATTTTATTTTTCCAAACTCCTAAATTTTCTTCTTACAATATTTTGTCTAACTTCCATAAGAATCTTAGTTTTTCAAATAATCATTAATGAAAATGTTTAATCACACTTATAATCAATGACACTGAATTTTAATTAGTATTACAACAATACATAATAAATACACAATAAGATATAAAAAAAAATGCATGCTCAATGTTAAACATAACTTAGCAATTTTTTAAACATAAAACGTAAAGTCTTAAAAGGTATGTTTGTTTCTCATTTTTAAAAGAGTTTTTAATTTTTTTTTCTAAATATAGTATAATTTTATATTATATTTAGAAAGAAAAAAAAGTAAAAAAAACTCTTTTAAAAAGAGAAATCAAACATACCCTAACTTTCCTACCCAAACAAACATAAGAAATAGGCTTCTCTTTTTTTCTTCTTTTTTTCTTTTTTTTTTCTTTTTGTTTTGAATTAGCACATACCTAAGTTAACTCTAACGAGCTTGAAGCTAAGGAAGAAATGAGTCAAATACATAATACAATAAAAGAAAGATAGAGATAAGGCAAATAGTAAGAAGAGAGATTATTAAAAAGTGAGAGATGAACAAAAAAAAATACTCTCACTAAAGAGAGACAAAAATCCATCGTATATGGGAAAAAAAAGCTTCATAAGAGAAGAGAAAATAAACTCTACAAGAGAAGAAGGAGTCCTCCGTAAGTGGGAGACTCCCTAAAATTACTCACAGCCTTGTAACTTTACTTGTGTGACATTGCGTTAGAAATTAAACTTGTTAGAAGACAAATCTAAATTAAACTCTTTATAAAAGAAGACAAATTCAAGTTGAAGTTGTTTGCTTAATTATTAAGAAAAGTCCTCCTCAAAAACTCTATAAATAGGTGATGTTGTGGAATATAAAATTTTACGGTAAAATAGTTCATTACTTAGCCTTTGTTGTAAGGGGTTTATTTTTTAAAGAAACTCTAACAAGTTTTCTTGTGGTTGGTTGAGTGTGTAATTGGGTATTAATGTAAGCCAAAGTCTTTTGAGTGTATTGGTTTTCTAATAGAAAAATTATTCCTTGAGTATTCATATTTGTCACAACAACAATATTTTAACTAGGCAATTTATTTTAATTGCCAACATCTGGTATTAGAGCTTGTTGATCCAAAATGGCAGCAAGTTTAAGCACAGGAGCAAACCAAGTTCAACAAGCACTAAGAGTCATCTTCAAATCTGATAGTAGATCAAATTTTGCTATGTGAAAATGCTTGATGGAGCTATGTCTAAAAACCAGTGGTTATGGAGAAATTATAAAGAAAGGCTATGCTGAACCAAAAGAAGAACAATCAAAAGTTGATAAGCAGCAGGTAGAAAAAGATCAGCAACTCAATGAAAATGTTTTGTTC